GCCTGTCCCCGGAGAGGGGCCGTCCGTGCACACCCAGGCACGCGCGCTGACCCTGCTGCTCCCCTGCAGGTGGACCCCCTCCGGCAGGTATGCCTGGTGCAGTTTGAGGACGACTCCCAGTTCCTGGTCCTGTGGAAGGACATCAACCCAGGTCTGTGCTGCTCCCCCCCGCCAGGCCCCTCTGCAGACCCTGCAGAGGCCCCTCTGGCATCCAGCGAGGACCTGCCTTTCCTGGCTGGTGAGGGGGTGGAAGGGCAACACCGTCCCCTCATCCTGGGGGGGGGAGGCGGAGGGTCTGGCCCTGCAGGCACCGGAGTGACCCTGTCCCCCCCACAGCGGCCGTCCCGGGTGAGGAACTCTCCTGCTGCGTCTGCCGTTCAGAGGTCTCCAGCCCAGAGAATCGCCTGGTGAGGTGTGAGAAATGCAGCCACGGTGAGTGCCGCAGCAGCCACAGCCGGGGGTCCGTCCCTCACGCCCCGCCCCCCTTTAACCTTGGCGCTCTCTTGCAGCCTACCATCAGGAATGCCACCTGCCCCGGGTGCTCAGCGACGCTGCCTGGACGTGCAGGCAGTGCGTCTTTGCGGTGGCCACCAAGGTGAGGCGAGTTCAGCCGAGGCCCTCTCCCCCCAGATGATGAGCTCCTCTCGGCCCCTGCCGGTTGGAGGGCCTTTAGGTTTTCCCTCCTTCCTGGTCCAGATGGGAGGGTCTCGCCGGGTGCCCGGCGTGCTCCACCGAGAGGGAGGCGGCCTTCCCTCCTGCCTGGGCTAGCCCCAGCCTGACCTCCACCGGAGGGGGTCTCCTGCTTTCTTCCTCTCTCCTTGCAGCGGGGTGGGGCCCTCAAGAAGGGGCCGTACGCCAAAGCCATGCTGGGCATGAAGCTGGTGCTGCCCTACCAGCTGAAGTCGCTCGATTGGGATGCTGAACACCTCACCAACCGTCAGCAATGCTACTGCTACTGCGGAGGCCCCGGCGAGTGAGTGTGCGCAAGCCTGGTGTTGGGAGGGCAGAGGGGGACCCCGGCAGGGGGCCAACCTTGGGTGATCCAGAAAGGCTAAGCAGGATTGGGAGTGGAGAGTGATTGGATGGGGGACCACCAGGAGAGCCCGAGGCTGTAGGCTGGGAGAGGAGAGGGCATCTTGTCCCAAAGCCATGGGGGTGAGGCCCCCAAATTCTAAGCTCTCCTTAGTCTGACCCCCTTTTCCAGGTGGAACCTCAAAATGCTGCAGTGCTGCCGATGCGGCCAGTGGTTCCACGAGGCCTGCACCCAGTGTCTGAGCAAGCCTCTCCTCTACGGGGACAGGTGAGCCCCCGACCCCAAGAGACGGGGGGTGGGGGCTGGCCAGGCGCTGCTAACCTCTCACCCCGGGCAGGTTCTACGTTTTTGAATGCTGTGTCTGCACCCGAGGCCCCGAGAGCGTTCGGCGCCTGCCGCTGCGTTGGTGAGTTGGTGGCTCACGGGGAGGTCAGGCGGGCAAGTGCCCTCTCCGCTGCAGGATGACGGGGGGGGAGCCCCCGGGGCCTTCCCTTCTGCGCCATGAGGGGCTGCAGGCTGGGTGGGGGGCGTTGGTGCTGGGGGGAGGCCCACAAGCAAAAGGGGCAGGGGTCCTGAAACATACCCCAGGCAGTTTTAAAATTCGCTGCCGCCCCACTTTAGCACCAGGGCGGAGCTTTGGGCTGGGCACTTCCCCAACTTTTGCCTGGGGGTGCTTCTGTGGCTCGGGGGGGGGGTTCAGGGCCCCGGACGGGCGGCCAAGTTAAAGAAGGGGGA